GCTGGAATATCACGGCAAACATCACTTATAAATTAGATATAATCATTTCTAAAATTACCGATCGCGATGTTATTTTCCTTAATATAGAAAGTATTAATATTTGAAGAAATGGTAACTTACTTGGCATGGGGATGATGATAAGAATAATTACATGTTTGCAGAAGTCAATGCATAGAAAAGATAAAACGGTACATCTTGTCCAGTTAAAGGCCGAAGAATATCTATCAAAATCGGCGCCAAAAGAAAACGAAGCACGCATGTCTTCTATTGTCCGTCAGTGGTCAAACCAGTTTCTTTTTTATAACTCTTACGTCGCGCAAACTCACTCTCCAGACACTCATGGACTACACATACACAATAGGACAGTATTTACACATAGTAGAAATCACAGACAATGTAATACTCACCTGTGAATACAAGTGATGATATACAATCAGTCGTAGTACAGACATTGTGCCACATAAACACTGACCGGGATGATAATCCTAATCTTGGCTAAAGTCTCGCCATTATGACAATCTTTAGCATCACTAAACTCTGGCCACGATCGTAGGCCATGATGAAATTTTACTATGATAGCAATCTTATGTGTGGCTAAAATCGAATCAAGACGACAATCTTACGTCTGGGTTATATTTTATAATGGTTACAGTCCAAAGTCTGGTTAAACTCTGACCAAGATGACAATCCTAAGCCTGGTTAAACTCTGACCAAGATGACAATCCTAAGCCTGGTTAAACTCTGACCAAGATGACAATCCTAAGTCTGGTTAAACTCTGACCAAGATGACAATCCTAAGCCTGGTTAAACTCTGACCAAGATGACAACCCTAAGCCTGGTTAAACTCTGACCAAGATGATAATCCTAAGGCCAAGATGACAATCCTAAGCCTGGTTAAACTCTGACCAAGATGACAATCCTAAGCCTGGTTAAACTCTGACCAAGATGACAATCCTAAGCCTGGTTAAACTCTGACCAAGATGACAATCCTAAGCCTGGTTAAACTCTGACCAAGATGACAATCCTAAGCCTGGTTAAACTCTGACCAAGATGACAATCCTAAGTCTGGTTAAACTCTGACCAAGATGACAATCCTAAGCCTGGTTAAACTCTTACCAAGATGACAACCCTAAACCTGGTTAAACTCTGACCAAGATGATAATCCTAAGGCCAAGATGACAATCCTAAGCCTGGTTAAACTCTGACCAAGTTGACAATCCTAAGCCTGGTTAAAATCTGACCAAGATGACAATCCTAAGGCCAAGATGACAATCCTAAGCCTGGTTAAACTCTGACCAAGATGACAGTCCTAAGTCTGGTTAAACTCTGACCAAGATGACAATCCTAAGCCTGGTTAAACTCTGACCAAGATGACAATCCTAAGCCTGGTTAAACTCTGACCAAGATGACAATCCTAAGCCTGGTTAAACTCTGACCAAGATGACAATCCTAAGTCTGGTTAAACTCTGACCAAGATGACAATCCTACGTCTGGTTAAACTCTGACCAAGATGACAATCCTAAGCCTGGTTAAACTCTGACCAAGATGACAATCCTAAGACCAAGATGACAATCCTAAGCCTGGTTAAACTCTGACCAAGATGACAATCCTAAGCCTGGTTAAACTCTGGCCAAGATGACAACCCTAAGCCTGGTTAAACTCTGACCAAGATGATAATCCTAAGGCCAAGATGACAATCCTAAGCCTGGTTAAACTCTGACCAAGATGACAATCCTAAGCCTGGTTAAACTCTTACCAAGATGACAACCCTAAGCCTGGTTAAACTCTGACCAAGATGATAATCCTAAGGCCAAGATGACAATCCTAAGCCTGGTTAAACTCTGACCAAGATGACAATCCTACGTCTGGTTAAACTCTGACCAAGATGACAATCCTAAGCCTGGTTAAACTCTGACCAAGATGACAATCCTAAGGCCAAGATGACAATCCTAAGCCTGGTTAAACTCTGACCAAGATGACAATCCTAAGCCTGGTTAAACTCTGACCAAGATGACAATCCTAAGCCTGGTTAAACTCTGACCAAGATGACAATCCTAAGTCTGGTTAAACTCTGACCAAGATGACAATCCTAAGCCTGGTTAAACTCTTACCAAGATGACAACCCTAAGCCTGGTTAAACTCTGACCAAGATGATAATCCTAAGGCCAAGATGACAATCCTAAGCCTGGTTAAACTCTGACCAAGTTGACAATCCTAAGCCTGGTTAAAATCTGACCAAGATGACAATCCTAAGGCCAAGATGACAATCCTAAGCCTGGTTAAACTCTGACCAAGATGACAGTCCTAAGTCTGGTTAAACTCTGACCAAGATGACAATCCTAAGCCTGGTTAAACTCTGACCAAGATGACAATCCTAAGCCTGGTTAAACTCTGACCAAGATGACAATCCTAAGCCTGGTTAAACTCTGACCAAGATGACAATCCTAAGTCTGGTTAAACTCTGACCAAGATGACAATCCTACGTCTGGTTAAACTCTGACCAAGATGACAATCCTAAGCCTGGTTAAACTCTGACCAAGATGACAATCCTAAGGCCAAGATGACAATCCTACGTCTGGTTAAACTCTGACCAAGATGACAATCCTAAGCCTGGTTAAACTCTGACCAAGATGACAATCCTAAGTCTGGTTAAACTCTGACCAAGATGACAATCCTACGTCTGGTTAAACTCTGACCAAGATGACAATCCTAAGCCTGGTTAAACTCTGACCAAGATGACAATCCTAAGGCCAAGATGACAATCCTACGTCTGGTTAAACTCTGACCAAGATGACAATCCTAAGCCTGGTTAAACTCTGACCAAGATGACAATCCTAAGGCCAAGATGACAATCCTAAGCCTGGTTAAACTCTGACCAAGATGACAATCCTAAGCCTGGTTAAACTCTGACCAAGATGACGATCGTAATCATGTGTAAACTTTGATGAAGATGGAAATCGTACGCCTTGATAATCTCTTACCATGATGACAACCCTTAGTCTGGCTTAACTCAGACGATGTTGACAAGGTTAAGGCTGGTTAAAGTCCTTAACCTGACAAGAATTTACAGGAATTTCCAAGCCAGTGGAAATTTCCGGAATATCCCTATATTGTTTGATAACTTGGTGGCACAGTTCAGAATGTACTTGCCATGATGTTCTTTTGAAATAATCTAATGTAGATAAAGTTATGAAATTTATTTATTTGTACTGCTGGTTCACTTCTTCGACAAACATTTTGCTTTATTCCTTTTCAAAATGTTGTCGTCAATCACTACCCAAGTTTCAATCAGCTTCACTGACGACTCCTCAAAACCAAAACTTATGGTAAGCCCACTTATCATTTGTTCCAACCGCAATGTTGATCTTATGTTTCACCAAATAAGACGTAATATACACTATATGAACCATCTTATATGTTTTACTAATACATGTATCTAAATACCAAATTAGATATCTTACATGTCTAGATCAGATATCTTTATATAATATATCTTATGTTATATATAATATACCTCATATAGAAATTAAATCAGATATCTGTAATAAATAAACATATGATAAAGATATCAATTATGTAAGACATCTTATGAAATACCATATAATGAATGAGAGCTCATGGAAAAGGAAAACGTAAGTTTCCCCAAGAATGATTTGGATCACTTCTGATTGTTCTGTTCTGTATCAGTGGAAACGATTCTTCAGCACGTGTTTCTGGTCATAAAAAAACACTTGAAGCCGGCTCTTATTGTCCATAGACACATTCAACAACTCCGCATCATTACTTGAGGAATTCGACTACAGTTTGCCAAGTCTCGTTCCCATACGAGATATCGTATATACGACGAGACTATCATATTAGATAGATAATATAGCATATGTGATATCTTACACGACATCCCATCATGTACAATATATGAGATATCTCATGTTATATATATCTCAAAATATATTAGCATCCATGATGGGATATCTCAGAAAGAAAGATGATCGCCGAGATATATTTTATAACCTATGAGATATTTTTAGTTTGATTTTTGGTGAAATTCCTATACAAGATAGATCATATAGTTTACAAGATATATATTGTAAAATATCCTATACATTATATACCATATCTGATTTATCCAAGTAAGATATATTATATAAATGAAATGAAATATGGAACGAAAATACTCCTGGGATAAATGATAAGTTGACTTACCATTGTTATTTGACTGATTTCTATCAGTCTCCTTCATTTAACCATGCTTTCTTTTTATTTCTATATTTTAAGTAGGTGATGGAATTTATCGTGTCAGTTGAAACAAAATAAAATTTTCTTCTACTTTGAAAATAAATTTGCTCATAAACTTGAAATATCTTATAAATGTTTTACAAAGTATCGCATTTTCGCCCTTTTATGCATGTGGTATACTAACAGTTTGCAATAAATGTGCTTCAATTTACTGAAATATTAACCCTTTTGGTCAATTTAAATAACAACTTAGTTGATTTTAGGTAAGTGTATATGAGTAAAGTACACAACTGTACAACTAATCTCAAGTGTCGTGCAGGATGTCCCATTATCCTAATAATAAACAAATACAGTCAATTAAATGAGTCGCTTGCATTGAGAAGTCCATATTTTTATTTTTATTAATGCCACTTTAAAATGCATTGCTACGAATTTCTGTTGCCTACATCAAGAACGACAACCCGTGTTGTGATATGCGCATAGATCTATTGCGCAGAATATGCAAATCACCCGTGACAACAAATACGTCATCAGGTGCCCCCTATGTATGCAGCTACTAGCCGAGTTCTACCTGTCAATGTTTTGATTGTGATACATGTGTGGATGAAGGCGATGGAAGCTGTCATGGATTATATTATGAAGACTTTGTGATTTTGGATTACTATCTTATCAATGATACGGTGTGGAGATACATCGATAATACGAAAGGGCAGTAAATCTGCTTGAATTCTGGCGTTCTCCCTGTGGCTCGCTTTGGATCCAAAATGGACGCACAACCAGAAATAGATCCGAACTTCGAGCCACAAGCGAGAGCCAGGAGCAATACTTGGCCTTGCAGGCCTCAAGAGCCGATAAACGATACTCAAAGTTCACCAGCATCAGACGAATGTGCGTCAGAAAATGCAATAAAACAAGAAAATGTCGCCTTAAACAAGAAGACATCATCTCGACGTAATGCGTGGGGAAATCTCTCGTATGCTGACCTAATTACGAAAGCTATACAAAGTTCGGCAGAACAGCGACTTACACTGTCGCAAATTTACGACTGGATGGTCCAGAATGTACCCTACTTTAAAGATAAAGGGGACAACACAAGCTCGGCAGGTTGGAAGGTGAGTTTTGAACATGACATGAGCACATATAGCTCGCTCAATTAGCTGACAGAAATCTTAAACCACCACTGAGTTGGCCTAGTGGTGTGTGTGTATGTGCCGTTCACATCGATTTGTTTTGGTAAGAACAACCACGTGGTTGGTTAGCTACACATTGATACTCGGGGTGTCTTATAATTTGACGGGTTCATGAAAATATCATTTAACGTACTTTATATTCTATGAATGCTGCAGACGATACATTGTCCGAAATTGTTTTGATTTGTAAAGGGGGCGTGGTCAAAGTTTATTATGGTTGGACATGCACAATGCTTAAAAAAACCAGTTTCCTTTACAACCTCGATTGCTGTCAGGTCAATCCTGCAGATTTAGAATTATTAATTTCAAATGAAAAGGAAAATGAATCCAGGAATTACTGATAGTGCAAGTTTCATTTACAATTAAAAATTAAGATTCAGAAAACATGTCATCTCCCTTGTATTAGGTTGTAACCCAACTGTCACTAGAATTTTGATTGGTTAAATACACCATGTGCAAATGTGTAATTAAACCTTTGACTTTAATGGAGCTGATCTGATTTATCAACCAGACTGAAATTGAAGTTGCACCATGTTGAGACAAAATTTAAAACTCATTTATACATAGAACTAGTTATGATTCCACATTGAAGATGCAAGGGCCCTATATTGACGTATGGTAAACAAATTGTCTTTATAAGTCTTTGACTGTTTCAGTACAATATCCTTAGTTTAGTTGGGCAAATTGCACATAAACTATGCCCAATGTTTTTAAGGAAGTGTTTGCGTTGGAGTGATTTTCGGGTCCTGAGCTTAATGATCAAGGTCATTGTTACTATGAATGAATGTAAAATCGCTTACAGCAAAACATCTTCATTTCTGTTAGGATGATACAGCATTATTGACTGATATCATATGAGAAATCAACCAATGAAAGGTTAAAATTAGCAAGTCAAAGCTCATGGTCAGATATAAAATATTTCATTGACAAATATTTTGGGTCAAATCAAGTTTCTATATATCCATGTTTATCAGTCTGATCCATTGCTTATTTAGTTTGTTGCGAAAGAATTTGTGATTTTGAAAACCAGTTGTATTTTGGCTTTTCAACAAAAACAGATTTCATTAAATTTACCAGTTTACAATATCTGTATATTTATGAGAGCAGAAGTGTAACGATACACTGATTATTAATGCAACACAATGTCATGATAGTAAAATGATGTCCAAATTTACTTCGCTTTCTGCTTTTGACCAATCATGCATAACCAAAACATGGTGTAAACATTTGCATCAGTGAGAAATGTTTTGGCATTTCTGCAGTGTATAGCTCTTTACAATGTTACAACTTTAACTTTAAAGCTTATGGAAGAGTCATTATGATATGGGAATCCAATGAAAAATCAGTCTTTCGAAACAGATGCAGAAACAGATAAAATTTAGTCTGGTAACACATTGAACTTGTCAGCACGTCTTGTATATCAGGAGTTTAGTATGTAGCTTGATTTTCTTATCAGACTGTTAAAACTATATATCAAGCAAGAGATTAATAAGTCAATGTTTATGGAGCTAAAGCACAACAGCTATAGTGCTGCAAAAATATGTTATCCGTATAGAACATTTAATTTTGCAAGATCTTTGACTGGGCTTTTTAATGCGATATTTAAAACTGTGTACTCCTTTTGAAAATTCATTAAAATATTGTCATGTTTCTAAATATGTAGTATCAGTAATTTGTGTAGTGGTTTTTGTGGTGAGTCCATAAGGCAGAAATACCATTTCTTCCAAAGTTTTGACGACTTTCATTACTGAGAGATATTGTGGGTCCTCAAAATTTGAGACTCGTAAAATCATGAATCCAGAATTGTAATATATGAGTACAAATATTTTGATTTTGTTTGTCTCAAGGTTGTTTCAGGCTAATTTTGGATGACATATCTGGTTATTTTATATTTCCCATATAATGGACCCCAATAATGTTTATCTTGACCAATTTGGAGGGGGGATCTTCATTTCTGCAGAAAAAGAATATTAAGCTTTTCCTCTGTTTCCCCTGTTTGGCCCCATTCCTTTGTTAAAAGAGGGATCAAACTCACCATTTATACAGAATTTAGTCCCCTTCACAGCATCTATTTAGAAATGCCACTGCAAGTATGGAAAGTTTTTGTTGTGTAACATGAATTTCTACTGTAATGTTGATACACAAATGAATGCACTGCAAATATGTAAACAAACCATTATCAGGACACATGTGTTTTCTATATATATCCACTGCTAAATGAATATATATATATTGCATGCAGTTTGCTAACATATGGTAAGGTTTCACCTGGTGGTATATTTACCGTTAATTTGGCTAAATAGCTCTTTAAGTAATTGCTGATAACACAATTGTACCTGTGCTACATTGATATAACTAGGTACACTGTATGCACTACAAGGTATTGATGTGAATACACACATGTTTGTACACCTAATACACATACATGGTTGTGGGAAGTGACAGAAATTTGAATATTTGCCAAATCTTTTTCTATTGCATAACTGTTCTTAGCCACTGAGCATTAATAATGGGGGCAGCAGAATAGGGTCTCTTATGTGTGTGTGTGATCAACGAAGAGTATATACATGTATATATCATTTATTCAGTGTAAAAACCTTTAAAACCACACAATATCAAATGCATGTAGTCCTGAAATTCATTAACCCTGAAACATGTAAAGCTAATTAATTCAGTATTTAGCTGGTAGTCAATTTTAATCAATGATTGATTACTTGATGCAGTGTAAGTGACTATTGATTTATAAAATGAAAAGAATGAAAATTAACAGAACATACTTAAAAATTAGCATATTTGTGAAATGCATTGTCTTTTAGGTGTACACTTGGTCAGGACTAACCTTAAAGTTTCGAGAAACAGGACAATGTTTGAAGAGAACAAGAAATTGGTACACTGTCTTTGATGATTAGAACCATGGTTGTTAAATCCAGTCACATCAACAGGCCAATGTCTAATGGAAATTGGTTATGCTATTGCCTCGACATGATATGAGTGATGACTGAATTAAGGGCAGAACTAAATAATGATAGTATATTGAACTCTGTACAACAGTACACAAACATATTTATTGTATTTGATTCCAAATCTACTGGAAGTAAAACCTTTAACTACATCAATGATTTTTGAGACTCGATATTTGAGTCATTGTGTCCTGCTTTCCTTTTGAACTCGATAATTTTAATAGATTTTTGCTTTTGTTTTCATTCATATTGATTTCATTTCAAACAAGGGGCATGCTCCTTGTACAGTGTCAAGAGAGAACCACAACTTGCATTTTACAAAACAATACTAAAAAAATATGGTTTTTATTATGATGAATGTCAACTCTAATTTGATGTTAGATGAAACAATCACATGCCAGCTTTGGTTTAATGTTTAGAGAAAAAAACATGCATTTTATCTGGCTTGAAAAAAATAAAGACATCAAATATTGAAAAAAAAATTCCCTTCACAGCCAACATTGACTGTGTGATCATTGATACAATAAGTATTTCAAGTCAGAAATTGTTATACCAAATGATATGCCATTATGACTGCAATCAAAAACAAACATTCATACTATTTGATCATTTGGTAATTGAAACCTACTTCCTGTTTTGCTCATATGATCATTGGTGCCAGACATACAACTTAGTTCTGCGCCAAACTCAGTGATCTCACTGACACAACCATCCTTGTAGTCATCAAAGACTTAGTGTACTGTTTCTTGCATTATCATAATTGTTCTAGCTCTATTAATCTAAACTCAAAGATAAATCTGGAATGTCTTAATCAATCCAGTAATTTTTTTAGGCAAGGGCATGTGGCTTTTACACCAGTGCAGATTATATGCGGGCGAAAAAAGGAAGCGTACATGTCCATCAAATGTTTGTGACTGAAACAGATTGTCTAGAACCATCATTTGCAATTGTAATCGGGATGATTTTAAGATTGAAATAAAAATAACATTTTCGTGGATTTAATTAATCATATCTTTTAATAAAAATCACAAAAATATCTTCTGAAATTTTTTGGTTGCTTCAGAAGCCATAGCCAAAGTTTACGATAGTCTGTTGCATCCTGGGATCGATAGGTCATTTTCTTATAGGTCAAATTCTAGAACAACTGCCATCCTTGTTTATGATTGGAATGCCTTTGTGTAGCTTTCAAGTAATAATATAGGACTATTAGACTTTTGTCAGCATTCCACATGACAATTTTAGAGAAAAAGTTTAATTGAAATTGGAATATGCGAAGGTAAATGTTGTGGATTATGTACACTGCATGTGTATAGTGTATGTGAGACATTTCTAATGGTTCTTCAGAGTTTTCAAGGATATGGTTCTCTATCTCAGTAAAACTAAAGAAGATTCTTGAAAAAATTGAACCCTGATCAATTGACATGTAAATATATGGCCACAAGCAGAATATATTTGGGATTGAAACAAATGTACACCAACAAGGTAATATGAAACAGATTCACAACATTTGGCAATACATAAATTATAGTAAACAACCCAGTTATATTATCTATAATTGATATAGATTGTCCCCAACAAATTCTGAACATTAGACTATGTAGAATATGTATGCCACTAGGACTGACTCCCCCCCCCCCCACCCCACCCCACCCCTCAAACTATTTATTGCTCTTTACATCTGTCCTGTTTGTTTGATAAAATCTTCTATCAGAAATCAGAAACCATTAGATAATTGTGTGGTGCTTTATTAAGTGGAGTTTATACCACTAATTGACAAGCATGTCTGTGACTAGGATGTGTTGTCACCATGCATGTAGTCAGTCATCAGGAGGGATACCGCATACTGCTGATACTCGTTTTGTTTGATGATCCATGGACATCTAAAAAAAATGTAAACACAATTCAAAGGGCACTGAAAAATGATTGCCGTTGCTTGTTATGAAATGTCTCCAGAAGTCTTTA